ACCTAGCTATTATTAACCAGCTTCAAAATTTGCTTTACCTTGCTTTGTTTTTATTTATATTTCCAACATAGCTGCCTTAAAAAGTGCTTCCATTGGGAGTCATTTGTGATTCACTGCCTAGCCTCAACGTGTCAAACTGAACATCCACAGACAGCTTGTAGCCTGCACTACAATTACACCTGGCCGGTGAGACTTGTTATTATTGCATTTTAACTGACCTGTGAGTACACACCACAGAAGCTACTAAAACACTAAATCCCTGATTGGACCACAGCCGTTTGATTGAGCAGCAGAGCTTTCCCATCCCTCTGCTCTACAGCAGAGCTTTATGCTGAAACCCTTAATCAAATTTAATCAATGCACCGGAAAAAAAACCTGCCAATCCAAAGATGGACTCGCAAAGTAGCTTCGGGGGAGAAAAGCTGTCATGGCAGTTTTTGAAGGAATAAAATGTGCATAGTTTGTGCAATGTGTTGACAAGAGTCGATTGTAATCTGTAGCATTTGCAGGCAGAAGTGTAATAGTAAGATTTTAAGGCCTGAGAATGTTCTCCTCCTTGGCTTGCTCTTTTAATAAGCATATACTGTAAGATCACCTTTACAAAAACAAAATTGTTGAAGCATACAGATACGTGGTAACATAATGCCAAGAATAGAAGTAATCAGAAATGAATATCATCATCATAGTCATAGGGGCTACTTATTTTAAAATCCATCATCCCAGAGGGACGATAGCTATTTTAGACAGTAGAACATTCCAGATTGTTGCCTTGTGGGCAATCGATTGGAGTGCTTATGCCTTTGTCGATTGTTTTAAAGTAGTAGCCATTCAAAATGTCCCCTCCTTCCTTGATGGGCCCTGGGCTGGTCCTTGGCTGGTCCCCTACAATTCCTCTTTAAACATCAATCTTTGTTCTAAAATATTCTTTTTGTCATGATTGGACGTTAAGATCTAAAGAGAAGTGCCATCTCATGGTCAGACCCTGTAATTCAGTGAAAGGACAGAGTAAAAAAAAAAATGCGCGAATAGGAGAAGGCCAGTGGCTGGAAGTGGGAGGGGATTTTGCTGGGAGTCACAGGGGAGTGGGTTGCAATTCAGCAGCTGTACATCATGAATCAAAAACAATGATTAAACCCATAGAGCTGTGTACGTCATACCTCTACACTTTAATGTAAAAGTCAGTCCACGTGTATATAAGCCATCCTTATTGTACATATATCACCTCAAATCTCTGCGTTACTCCCTTGTATTTTTAATTATTTTGATTTATTATTTTTTATTTTTTCTTCATTTTGTGTGATACATGTTTATTCTTAATGCACCTTTTCCTCCTTGTTTGCACCTTCTTTAATTACTATGCCAATATGTGACCAGTGAATTTCTCCGCTGTGAGATCAATAAAGCTCATCTAATCTAATCTAATCTAATCAAATCTAATCTAATCTAATCTAATCTAATCTAATCTAATCGCATGCAAACCGTAACACAGAAAGGTTAGCATTCTCATCAGCTGCTTTGCATTATGCATTTTATTATAACATGATTCCTGTTGCTGTGAAAGAAAATGTTTTAAGCACTGCGCTGCCTCTACCATGTTTTATCATGAAGACAACGTGTTTTCAAAGTGACTAAGCGAGAGAAGAAAAAAAAAAGCTGGGCTGCACAGGTGAATATAAAGAAGAAATGTCTGTCTGTCCCACTCTTTTTGAAAATAATGTTTCCATTTGGAGGCAAAATAGACATCTCCGACCATATTGCTTTCAAATGTAGACGTATCCATTCATCCATCATGGACAGTTCGGTGGTCAATCACAGGGAGACACTCAGCAAAAGCATGCACACAAGCATTCATGCCTATGGTGACAGATTATCTAACCTAACATACGTACAGGAAGCTGTAGAACAGACAGAGAAAAACCACGCCTGCAGAAAAACCCCAAGCTGGCACGGAAATCCAGAACCTTCTCGCTGCAAGGCAGTTGTGTTTTCAACAGTGCAACATCACTTATTTGCAAGGTTTTCTAAATGTTTGCATCTTTATGATGTAAATGACTTCACGCTGCAAAAACAGTAGCGTGCTGTGCATACATCTTTATACTAGATTTTATATTTTCCACAGTTGAGCTTAGTTGTTATGTTTTCAAGTGGATCTTAAGGTGCTTTGCTGCTGTAAAGGGGCAACAGCTTGTTCCTTAATGGGAAACAGAAGACATATCCTGCGGCATGTGCTTCTGTTAAAAAGGTCTGGCGACTCCTATGGCGTGTGAGCTTCAGTTGGTTGTGTACAAAAGCCGGAGCGCAGCATCACACAGACCGGAGCTATCGAGAGGAACATCACTCAATCTCTTTGAACTGTACTCCGACTGAGGCATAATATTTCACAGATTTTAATGACTTTATTGTATTTATGTTATGTTTTGTTCACATGCCTGTTCTAAAAAATGCAAATTTAAATTCTCTTTAAGCACAATTTCAATCCTAAATGTGTAGGACCATAACATTGAAGCCAAAACAAAATCTGATTTAGACCATCTTCTCTCAGGTATTTTCCTGTTTCCGCCTTTAAAGTGAGGCCTAGATCCCACAATGGCAAAGATTGTATCTCAAAGGGCATAGGGCCCACAAAGGTGTACACAGAACCAAGGAAAACCCTCTTGTACAAGGGTAGGTAGGGCTACATCGTTAAAAAAAAAACTATGCCTGTCACGTGTACGTACTGACATATGAAACCAGCTTTCTCTGATTTATCTTTTCTGAGATGGGGTTTTAAAGAAGAAGTCCATTCTGGACCTAAAACTATTACGTTTGCAATGATTCAATGAATTAAGCATTAATCAGTGAAACAATAAAAACGGCAATTTTGTCTTTCCTTTATGGGTCCTTGGCTGGTTCCCTAAAATTCCTTTTTAAACATCAATATTTGTGCTAAAATATCCTTTCTGTCATGATTTGTGGACATTAATATCTAAAGAGAAGCATCATCTCCGGGTCAGACCCTCTAATCCAGTGAAAGGGTGGAGTCAGAGTCAAAAAAAAATATGCACATCCAGGAAAAAAGAGGGGGTCACTCAAGTGGCTGCAAGTTGGACGGGATTTTGCTGAGAGTTGCAGGGAAGTGGGCTGCCATTTGTTTGGGGCTTGATTGGGGGGAGCGATTTTGAATGGCTGCTACTGTAAAAGATGTTTGACTGAAAGGAACTGGACGTAAACACTGATGGAGGCTCATTTGACTCGGCTCTCTAAACAGAATCAGCTCTTCAATTAGATCAGGGGTGTAAAAGTGCCGATGGAACCAGAAATACATCTAGGTCACAATCGATTGCGTTTTATGAAAACAGACCAACATTACCCCTCTTTTACTGATCACTATCAGAAAACCACCTTCATGAGCACATAAAACATTTCTTTCTCTTACTCTCCATGTGTTTTTGTATTATTTAAAACATCAATGACAACAATAACAGACCATATAACTGAACCATAAGTCAGCAGCAGTACAGTAGCAGCCATTCAAAATTGCCCTTCCCAGTCAATTCCCTGGAACTCCCAGCAACATCCCCTCCAACTTACAGGCACTCTTTCATATTTTTTCACTCTGACTCCATCCTTTCACTGATTTACAGGATCTGACCAGGAGATTATGCTTCTCTTTAGAGCTTAATGTCCACAAATCATGACAGAAAGAAAATTTTAGTACAAAGATTGATGTTTAAAAGGAAATTGTAAGGGACCAGTGAAGGGCCCATCTAGGTAAATGGGGAAATTTTGAATGGCTACTACTGTAGTATTAAAAATTGTCTGAGTTTGTTTAACATTAATCATTGTACTAGAAACCATGTTAGTTTGCAATAAATACTTTCCTTTAAGGCAATATCTTCCCTTTATGTTCTCTCATGTCTCAGAAGCAGCTCTACCAAACATTTAAAGTACAAACACATTTTTGAAATATTAAAAACAGCAAACGGATGACTGCACATCACAGGAAATGAACCATTACAGCTTCGGGCATCTGCAGTTGACCTCTGATGCATCACACACTTCACCCCTCCCCGCTCTATTTGTTGAGTCCATTATATTTACAACTATAATCTTTGGACATTACAGTCATTATCAGCGTTTATCACTGACGCCTGAGAGCATTTAGGTTGGCCTTGACCCACACGGTCAATTCGGCGGCTCCGCTCACCCACCTATCCCTCTCTGTTTCCCACTGTCCCTCACCCTGTCACTCTCAGTTTACGAAGCACTGGATGAGGAGTGACCTGGAGGTCAACGTCGTTCCTGTTGCTCCCAGGTACGCCAGCCCAAACAAATTGGGGTCGTTGCGGAGCTAAGGAGGTGTGAGCGCGCTCCCCGACAGCAGTGTGTTCAGATAAAGGGGGATTACTGTGTCTTCTCCCATTTTATCCCTGCAACATCACCTTCATCATCTTGTGAAGTTAACCATTCAGTTGTACACCTGTTCATCGGCTGTTAGACTCCAATAATATGCAGCATATCTCAGAGACAACAGCAGTAATCCTGGATGGTAATTAAAACAAAACCCACCATGAAAATTAGCAGAATATTAGGGTAGAGGAAGCATAGAGGTCAACAATACAATTAGATCCCTGTTAAATGCCTTTTGAAATGCCTGTTGTCCTTTAATAGCCATTTCAATCCATCATTGGAGGTGGTTTTTAATGACCTTTAAGTACAACATATGAAAGCTGTAAAGCAGAAATTATGGCGATGACGAGATATAACACGAAATGTCTGTGTATAATCAGCTCATTTCTGGACTAATCCCCCCCCCCTTAATGGCCACTGAAAGCAGAAGCAGAAATCTAAATGTCATTTAAAGGACATTTAACAATACTTAGTGTAGCTGGGAATCCGGGTTTACTCATATAACCAGCTCAGTTATCTGGGGGTAAACTTGATTATATTTTTAGAGAAAATTTGAATACTTTCACCGTCAGCCCCATGCCCTCTAATACTGCCAGGAAAATGCATCTTACTATGTGCAGCTCCAGGTAATCTCCCAGTCCTTTGGCGCTCTCCACCCTGACCAGAATGGCTTCCTTCAGCTGCGTGCTGAAGCCCACTGCCAGCCGGTCTGCCCGTGTGCTCGGCCGGTCATTGGGTGGCCAGGTGTATGTGATGAGGGCTCCGCCTCGTCCAAAGATGTAAGTTGTCCCAGCTGCCAGAGAAACGGAAGAAACAGCAACGTTAGGACAAATGAAATAAGACATTATTATGGTAAAATGTAAAAAAGAAAAAAAAGGAAACGTGATGACAGATGCATTCTCAAACAAAACAGCAAATAGTAAACTACTATAAAGATGGAACAACAAAGAAGTGCAAATTTGACTTCCTGCACTGTAAAGAAGGCTTTCTTCTCTTTGTGTTGTGAAAACATTTCAGCTAGCGTCTGTGCTTCCACTTCTGATAAAAAAAAGCGCTTTTGTTGTGTTGAGCACTTTGTGGAAATAATCCGTGTACTCTAATTTGTCATATATTGCTTCCATTCAACTACAATAAATGTGATTTTTGCGGAACAACAACTAAAAGAATCCAACACTCAGAAATACAAGCGCAGCTATTTATTTGAAAGTCAGTGGCATTTTATTAAACATACCCTCACTGTGACCAAAATGACACATATTGCATTGCAAGAGCATTCTTAACTCTTATTGGCATCTCAATTGCATTCTTGGTACAATCTGTATTTAAATGAGATGTTATGTGAAAGACCAATAAAAAGTTTTGCAAAGCTGTTAGGTGGAAAAATTTACCAGAAAGGGCTTTTAATTTTTCGACAAACACAAACTAATAAAGTGTGATAAACATAAAAAAAACACCATTTGACTGGAGTCACAACATACCCTGAATGTCAATATATGACCCTTTCTAATGTACTAGTAGTCATACTAGTTGTGACTAGGTCGTGGGGGCAGCAGTCTCAGCAGAGACTCCAGACTCTCCTCTCCCCAGACAACTCCTCCTACTCCTTTGGGTGACGCCTAAGGCATCCCAAGGCCAGCCTGAAGACATAAGCCCCATTTAAACTACCGTCTTAAAACCGATCTGTGCCAAGCTTGGATCATTTAACCGTGCTGAGCTCAGTTCCTTACAACCATTTATACACCACGCTGGCACAGTTCATCGCCTCCTAGTGGTGTTCTTTGGTACTACTGCTCTCTAGAGGTAAACAAGCAAATCAACATGGTGGCCCCCGTAACATTCAGGAAGTTGTGTTTGGTTATAATTGTGATATTTCGTTGTTTGTGCAGAGTCAGGCAAAGAAGGCAGCCTTTGGTGAATTTACTTGACAGAGTCGGCTTTTGGGAAGTCGATACGACAAACAATAGTCTAATCAGGGCTTACAGATGCAGGAAACAATGATGGACGTTGAGGTTAATCACACTGCTGAGCAGAATCATGACTGGGAATCATGTGGCATGGTAGGGAAGCTGTTTTTTTTTATGAATGTCTGAAGTTTCATGATTGCGGAGGCTGACTGTAAGGAGATGACGCAGTCAACTCATGCACTTTTTGTTATCCTTGAACCATGCCAGAATTGAACTGTGCTGAGCCCTACTGATGAACTAGTACCAGTTTAGCGCGGTTCGGTTGTGTCTGGTGTGGTCCGGTTCAGTTGTGCCTGCCATTTGCACTCAACATTTATCTCGGTCACTGTACTCGGACCAATCTCGGCACGTTTCAAAATGGAGCTATAGTGCCTCTAGTGTGTCCTGAGCTGTCCCCTTGTCCAGCTCCTGGTGGGACGTTCCTGATAGACCTTCCAAGGGAGGCATCCAGGAGGCACTCATTGCAATTGTCCAAGCAGCCTCAGCTATCGCCCTATCTCTAACAGAGTGTCCAGTCACCCTCCGGGGAAACTTCGTGATACAGTAACTGAAAGAATGAGAGGTCACACAAGCACCCATTCCAATCTGCCTATCAATATAACCTTTTAATTCTTCCCTCACTCGGAAACAGATACTTGAATTCCTCCACTTGAGACAGGAACTCTCTCTGACCTAAAGACGGCAAGCCACCATTCCAATGTCTTAATTGCTAAATTGGAATATTGATGTTTTCCAAGTGCAAAAGTCTTTGTGCTCTCTCCTTCTTTAAAGATTGCTCTGTATTTTGCTCCATCCATCTTTGCATCTATCAATCCTGACTATCTTCTCTGTCTTTGGTGAAGAAAAGCATCCGTACAAACCCAGTGCTGACACCACCACCAGATTTTCATGTTCAGATTTTGTGTTAAGACTGATGAGGAGTTAGTTTTCCAACAATCAAAGAACTCAGTCTTTCTAATGGATCATTTCAGCTTTCATCTGACCAGAGCACTTGATTCAAATCAGCTTTCACTCCTTTTTAGCTAGTGGTAAAACTTCAGCAAGACATATTTTTCCTTTTTTATGACACTTTTGAATAAAAGCCAGATTTATGGAGGGCGCAATTCATCAGTGTCCCACCTGAGGTACATATCTCTACTGCCCTTTAGAGAAAGCATATGACACTAAGGTTACGTTCACGCTGCAGGCCTTAATGCTAATTTTTGATTTTTTTTTGTGAAATCCAGGTTTTTTTGTATTTTCTCCAAATATATGCAACTTGTATGTGATCTCCTGTGTAAACGGCGTTCAAAAAACGCAAGTGTCCTGGATGCGCAGTAGAGGACGCAATGACATCAAAAGCAAGCATGCTCTGTGTTTACGGAAGTAAACATGGATGGTATGGCTGGAGCACATCTAGCAATCTTTCCCAACCTTAAAAACTCAATCTTTTCAAAATGGTAAAAAAAAAAAAATACTACTCTCCGTATTACCGCCAAGGTTATTGTTTTTCTTCCCCCTTCTGCATAGCAAGATGCAGAATATTGACCTCTGTTGAGTATTAATGATGTTCAGGTTGGATGAACAAGACCTGGCCATTCACACATAGGTCACATTTGAAAAGATCAGATGCGTATTGGATTCAGACCACATAGCGGTCAGACCACAAAGTGGCCTGGGTGGCATTGGAAAAAATCAGATCTGTATCGTTCAGACTACGACTAAGATCAGATACAAGTCGCATATGGGCAAAAAAATTATCGGATTTGGGTCACTTCAGGCTGCATTGTGAACATAGTTAATCGGGTTAGGTAGACAGCCATGTCTTATAAGGTCTTCAATGTTTTCTACTGAAACACAACTAAAAATTCTTGTGCATATCCGGACAAGAACAAAACATGGATAAATCTTGGTGTTCATTATCTTCATTTACTTTTACAAGCGAAAAAAGGAAAAGAAATCAAATGGATATAAAATATAAAATGAAATCCAGAAATGAAATTTTGAAAATGTCTCGATCAAAATAAATATTTTTTATGAATATGTTTTCCCAGATTTTTTTTTCTTTTTTTGCATTTTTTTCATATTTCATTTTTTTTTTTATTATTTTTCACTTTTAAATTCTTTCCTCCTCACTCCAGAGGAAAACAGCCCCCCATAAGAAGTTAAAAGATGTGATCTGTTTAAAAATAATAAAAAAATAATAATTTTGAAAAATAACTATCATATAAAGTCAAATAAAAAAGTTGAGAAATAAGGTTTGGAATAGAAATAAATTAAAATGATAAAATAGAATACCATTTTTTTTTTTTTATTTGATATTGAAAAAAAAATCTAAATCTGAGAAAACAATTTCAAAATCTTAAATTGAGAAGCAATGGAGTATTCTAAGAGTTTAACTCCGTATTTAAGATCAGCAAAAGTCTTACTAATAGATAAAGACAATGTACCTCAGTAATTCTTAGTGTTTGTATAATGAAAGACAGAAAATATTTCAAAAATGTGCTCCCCTTCCAAAAAATTAGCAATTTCATGTTTGAACAGTAATGGAGGGGTTAGAGTTTGGCTCCAATGAGCCCACAGGTAAATGAGAAATGATGGCTGCTGGGTGTGATTAGCATAGAGTAATGAAACCACAGTGAACCATTCTCAACCCTGCAGGCTGTCTCCATCCTTAGCATCACAAATACACACACATAGGCTGCGTGTCAAGATATTAATGCAGGTACAGCATGTAGCTATATGAATACATAAGTAAACAAGGGATTCAGCCACATTTCTATGCAGTGGAAAAAACCTGAGGCCACCGACATGCAGACACACATCAACCGGGTTTCAATCTTTTTTGGTCAGGATGGTAATGACCGTTTCCCCTGCTGGATTTAACGGAAATTATATTGGGAGAAAGGGCATAAAATGTAGCTGTTTAGCCAATCTGCTGATTACACAATTATAGTTTATATATGCAGAGACGTGAATAGAGACAACAGAGCATGACAGCAGCTTCCTGAACAAACTGATGCTTATTTATGAGAGCAGCTGATTGACATCTGTATACTCCTCCCTTCATCTGCATATCTTTACATTTTCTAGGCCTACAATATCTCTTTTGGAGGGTTTTCATTTTTTTTAGGAAGAATGGAAGGCAGGAGCTGTGATGACTGCAGGTTGACCACATCCACGGGAAGAAAGGACTGCTCAGTGGTACACGAAGAAGAGAATCCTGATTAAGACTGGGCACAAGCTGTCTTCCTGCACGCTCACAAGCAGGCACTCGTTCAGCAACAATCCACTGGTAGCCATTTCAAATTGGCTGACACACAGCGCTCTCCCCAGGTTCTCTCTCCTTCTCACCACCCCTCCCTGCCGCCCCTTGTTTCCTCCCAGCAGAGCTAAGCCCTCTCCTCAGCTCCTTTTCTGTTTTCTTGAGGCTGTATTATTTTAGCACTGACTAATTATCGCAGCATGGCAAGAAGGGCTATAAAGAGGTTGTGTGCCGAAGGAGGAAAAAAAAAAGGGAGGGAACAACGAAAGACAACAGGATTTTAAAGACAGGGAGAAGTTGTGATGAGGAAAAGTTGGCATTTTCTCAACTCTGTTTATCTTAAGTGAGGTACCAGAGGTTTACAGAAACTGGTCAGGAGAATAACTGAAGGGAGAGCAGATTTCTAAAATGGCTGACTACAAGGGAAGCAAGGGAGCCATGTTGTGAAAACAAAGAAAGCTGCTATTTCAGACAGCTGGAGCTACAATGATGTAACCTGACTCCGCCAGATGGATTTGCTCCG